TGAGACAAACTTTATATTATTCGTTTTTATGATTTGTAGTTTAATAGAATAATACCTCGTTTCAATATTAAGATAAAATTATCAGGCTTTCCAGGGATAAGTTTCATTTTGAAAATTTCAATTTAGATATATAGTGTTCGGGCATGACAGCCTTTCTTCAAGAAAAATACGATTCAAATTGATAATCATTCAGACCTAGTGCGCGCATGCTCTCTAAATTTTCGTTTGAAATTATATGCAATTAAGTATGCAGCATTAAAATATTAGATTATAATTTATTATTTTCATGATTTATAGTTCAATAAAAGAATCACACACAAGCATATATATGATTAGATTTCGAAGAAATATACAGAACATATACAGTTTATTAACTTAATAACTAGAGGAATAAAATATAAATCTACTATATATTTAAACTTTTTAAATATAATATATATATATGAATAATATTCTACTAATTAACTCGAAATATTTAATGGAATATCATTAGTAACCATATTTAGATTATTATTATTAATTGAAAAATATAAAAATATTGAGAGAAATTATAATATAATATCTAAAAAGAATATTATTATTCAATTAGTTATTATTAAAGAGAGATATTAAAGAAAATATTAAATAATCTCTTAATTAGTATAATTATCAGTGAATATTTGACTATATATATATATTAATTGAAATATGGTGAATTGTATGGGTTGTATACGAACATGTATTGAAGAAAAAAATCAAGAAGATAGTAAAGAAATATTTTTCGAATTTATTTTGCCGGAGGTGATTTCCCTTTTGAATAGATTTGTATAAGTATTTCTATGCTGGGTGCAATATTGGAGGCCTGGGGGGGACCCAGGAATATTTAATCCTTCGCCACACTCCACTTTCCACCTGATTGGGCAGTTATCCAACTCTTTCTCACAATTTATTCTACATATAACTACCAGCTATCTGCATCTCTTTCTTACATCGACAATTTCATATATATATAGATACGTTGTTAACATTTCAATGAAATATTACCGAATGTAATGCGAAAAATAGGTTATTATTAAATATTTAATAAAAATATAGCAATATAATAATAATTAATAATAATAATAATGGGAAAAAACATTCAAGGGTTTAATTTTCACAGAAAACAATTTAATACTATCAAATAGCATTAGTAAATATTAAGATAGCATGAACTTTTAAGAAATAACCAATAGATTATATTAATTGTTACTTTTTATATGGAGATTCAAATACCCTATAAGTAAAGGCCAATAAATATATTCATGAAAATGGTCATAGATTTATATTTATTGATGAAAAAATACATGATAAATTGTTACTAATAATTTTCTTTATTTTATAAAACTTAGATACGGAAACGTATGTTTTTTTAGGTTTATCTATGCGAAAATAAATATATTCGGATAATAATAATTTGTTTATGCAATATAACAAACAAATTGTTAAATTTTTATCGTTTTTTCTCAATAATAATATATATACATTATTGAAGCTTGTACAAAGATAAAAATATAACTAACTAATAGTCAACAGAAAACAGAATCATATAGAAGCATAGGGCGCTTCTATGGATCAATTTCCTCCCGGCAATTTTTCCAACATAATCATATATCAGTCTAATGTTGCATATCATTTTTAACTGTGATTATTATTGTATTAATTATTTAGTTCATGTATATCATATCCAAAGACCAAAAATATCATTGAGATATTTAGAGTTTATGAGAAGATTTATGTGTTGTTATTTGTTATGAATTATCAAGAGATGTATATTTAACTATTTTTTGTCATTTATTTAATCAAAAACGGGCATAGGAAATTATTTTACAGTTATAAATGCTTTTAATTTAGAGGTGGTAGACGGTGTACAATATTATATTAAACAAATATCTAATATTTACAATAGATGTGAACTTAATATGGAAATGAAACTCAGCAGGTACACAATATATAAGAATATAATTATATATGCCTACACCTCTCTCCTATTAATGACCAAAAGGTATGACAAACATTCCCCTAACTTTGCCTAAGCTTACTTGATTCCTAATTATGCACAGAAAAGTTCAACAAACGCACACAAACATATAGAGCAATCCATTTATGCATTTATTGCATTTTAATAAATTTATTGATCCAAATTATTTTACCAATATTTCAGTTGGAGAACGCCAACCTTAATCAAAGTATTATACATATATCACACATTAATACTTGATAAAGGTTGACGTTCAGTCAACTCAAATATTGGTAAAATAAATGATATACTGATCCAAAATATGCCTTTTCAGTTAAAGATTTGTTCATTGATTGCGCTATTTTCAAAACACACACACTCACACATATACACTGCGTGACATTGAAAATGGAACACCAAGAAATAGTGGCCATAAAATTATGCAAATTTCAGGGTAGACGCGCCTAACCGAGTTATGCAAATGATGTAAAATGCGCAGCTCTCGTGCGCACATGGAGTAAGATATAAGGGAAGGAACTTGCAGAAAGGACAGTATTCGTGTCGTTATTTCTTCAAGGAAAATCATGGTAGAAATTTTGTTCTTGTGTCAAAAGACACGTCTAATAACAGAGAATGCCAGGTCATCGTAAACGGAGGCTGTTCAAGCAGACAGACGCTTTTACGAGGGGCATGGTGATCGGACTGAAAAGGGCAGGTTGAACCATACGTCAAATCGCAGCTGATACACACCTTGGTGCGTCCACGGTGCACCGACTGTGGAGAAGATGGTTGGAACAAGGAAATGTGGCAATTTATAGGAATGTCGGTGCAACCAGAGTGACGTCAGCACGTGTGGATCGGCGTATCCTTCGACAAGCAGTGGCGGCCCCACAAGCCACTTGTACCGCCATCCTGCAACATGTGCAAGACACCCTAGATCATTCCATCTCGACCAGAACCATTTCCCGTCGATTGGTTGCTAATGGCTTGCACTCATGCCGTCCGCTAAGAAGACTGCCATTGACCCCACCGAATAGGTGCCAACGTTTGGAATGGTGCCGGGCTAGATCGACGTGGATGACGGAATGGCACAGGGTCGTGTTCTCAGATGAGTCGCGTTTCTGCTTGTCCAGTGATAGTCGCCGTGTACGCGTGTGGCGTCGACGTGGAGAAAGGTCCAATCCGGCAGCAATTGTGGAACGCCCCACCGTGCGACAACGTGGAATCATGGTTTGGGGCGCAATCGCCTATGATTCCAGGTCACCATTACTTCGTATTCAGGGCACTATGACGGCCCAACGATACGTTGATGATGTGCTGCGACCGGTGACACTCCCCTACCTTCAGGGGGTACCCAATGCCCTTTATCAGCAGGATAACGCCCGACCGCACACTGCTCGCATTAGCCAACAAGCTCTGCAAGATGTACAGATGCTTCCCTGGCCACCGTACTCTCCTGATCTCTCACCAATCGAGCACGTCTGGGACATCATTGGACGCCGTTTGCATGCCTTGCCACAGCCGCGTTCAGAAGACGAACTGTGGCAAATGGTTGAGAGGGAATGGAGAGCCATCCCTCAGGACGCCATCCGTACTCTGATTGACTCTCTACCTAGAAGTGTTGCTGCGTGCATCGCCGTCCGCGGTGGTCCTACTTGCTACTAAGCCGACGCCGTTCTCGCTCTGTATTATGACTATCATTTTGAAATAAAGATCAATTATTGTTCGTCCCTGTCTCTCTCTGTCTGCCGAGTTTCATCACTTTCTGGCCACTATTTCTTGGTGTTCCATTTTCAATGTCACGCAGTGTATATACACCAATACCTCGCTTTGCGTCGTTTCGTTTTTTTCAAAGTTGCGTCGCTGCTTAATTTTTACTGATTTTCACTGTGCGTCGTTAGATTTTCGAAGTTGCGTTGTTTTGGATTGAGTCCTTAATTTCTTTTTTTTGAATTTTTTTCCTAAAATATGGCAACACCTTTGTTTTTGATTGCGCCTTCACATGTTTTCACTTTGCGTCGTTTCAATTTGCGTCGTGTTTTTTTGGAACGTAACCACGACGCAAAGCGAGGTATGGGTGTATATTAACCCAGTGCTCAATGCAAATCAATATAAATTTAAATGGTCAGAAAACAAATAAAATAGGGATTTGCAAATATACATCTATAATAGCTTATATATTAACATATGTAGTAATAAACTCAAAATAATATTGATATCTTATATCATTATAAGATATGATACATTGAATTAAAGTAATATTTCAGTATATGTAGAGAAGACCTTTATATAAGCCCAATCTGTGAATATAGTAAATCAATATCAATTATATATTGATTCTCATTTTATTAGTAATATGAATAATAAATAATAGATTATATTTATAATTCCATATAGAGTTTACGAAAAAGGTTAAATCGGAAATTTAGAACAATGTTCTATTGATTATTGGCATAAGGTATAATATATAAGTTTGGAATATGAATATAGTTTGAAACTCTCTTGATAACTAAATATATATTTTGGACTTATTTTTACAAATAACCCCTATGGGCTATTATCGAAACACTGAATTTGAATGGATCTTATTGTCAAGGAAGCTGGAGGTTTTGTTCTTTTTTTAGTGGTAAATTACTCTAAATAATTAACTAGCAATCATAAAACCATATAATTTAAAAAATAAAGATATGAATTTTCAAATAACAATATACTTTTAATGGTTTTTATATAGGATATTTGTGAAAAACATTGAAATGACAAAATGTCGAACGGCGAATACTTCAAAAGGAAAAATATTTGATATCAGACTTATAAAATGGCGGTTATCGATATTTAGTGTAATTTTTTATCTTTTCCTATATACATTATATGTATAAAACAACACTTTAAGTTACACCGCATGAGTTTATTTTCAACGAAAAATCAAAATTTATTTCAAAGTGAAATATTGACTATTTCTAACCTTTTTGGATGAGGTATGAAAGGGTGAATTATGAAGAGTAATGTTGGACGGAAAAATAAAAGTGTCCAGGGATGGGAATCGAACCCACAATGTTCCGCTTACCGGGCAGATGTCATGTCCACTAGGCTACCCTGGACGAATTTTTCCGTTCATAATCAATACATAATATATGTGTATTTTAATGATGTTCAAATTTAGATATATTAAATTTATTACTCACACCCAAAAAGTTAATTTGCGGTCGTTTATTCCGAGAAATGGTTAAATAAAAATTAATTTTGAATCTCTCTCTCTCTCAAAAGTTCATATTTCAAAAAATGATGAGAATATTAAGAGAATAATTAAGCTTTTTCACAATACACGTACACGTTGAATTTAAAAATATAATTCTAAATATATATATATTAAAACAAAATAGGCATATCCTGACGGTTCACATGAGCTTTTTAGATGGCAGAATGTCATCTACTTGAACAACATCAACTAACGTTGTGATAGGCTTGTTCCATTATATTTGGTAAACCCATTTCTTGATAAATCAAGAAAAGCCAACAACGAGCGGCTTTCAGGCTGCTGTCCCTGATCAGAGTGGTGCAGGCTGTAATTCAAAGATTAAGGGTATGGTCCTAGAGGCTTCCTGATGAATTAAGAAATTGGTGTATTTAAGGCCAACTTTGCGTAAATACATTGAACATGTAAAAAGATAAGAGAACTTTGATTAGGCCGAATATTTTGAAACAAGCCTAAATCAACGCTTAATTGATTTTGTTCCACTAAATGTCGACATTTAAAAACTCGTGTGATATACCTTGTTTGTTTAAATATCAACACCTAACATTTCTTCTATTTCCTCCCCTTTTTTTCGAATATTCAGCATATGTACACACATTTAGACTTGAATACTCATTTCTCGATTTCTCAGAAAGCTTCTGAGATCAAATATTTGGTCGTTGATGTATATCCTGAACCGCGCTGATGGGTGCCAAAAGCTTGATAGTTGACGATAAGGTGATAGTAATGGTGTTTAATATAGCTAATTGTTTTAATTATCAATATATCATGAATATTGGCCCACATATTTTATTAATCTTAATTATTAATCTGTAAAATTTGTAGTAATTTTCTACTGTATATTGATATATTTGTGTACACTTTTATTAAATTTAATGCCGTGATGTAGAGTGTTAATATGAGAAAGAATTAATAGAATCAATAAAATGAAATAGAATTTATTATAGACATATAGAAACATATTCATCGATTTATATTCCGTAATAAAATTCGTTCGATTTCAATTGCGAAAATAAAATGAAAATATATTTACATCACATATATTCAATTATATAATGGAATTAATGAGTGAAGTATTAACAATATATTTCACATATATACAAGACAGTATATTTTGAAAACTAGAGAACCTTTGTACATAAGTTAACTAAGACAAAGTTACACGGTAAAGATTGCAAGGTGTTATAAAAAAGTTCAATCTAAGATGTCGGTTTCGTATTCACGCTCGTCTCCCAGACCTTCGTCAGGGGAGTCCCTGGCTTCTGGAGATAGAGCATGGTGGATTTGATTGACCAAGGGGCCGCCTGCATGCTTCCAAGCACCTCCAGGGACAGCTTCGTGAGGCCCCTGATAGAGAGGTCTGTACAAATCCACCCCAAACTGGTTTTCTTGAATATTCCTTCTGCTTAGACTGTTCGTTCCACTATATAGCACATTCCCTGGAAGCCTGTTTGAATTATCCCGAAACGGTTTTGAGAGCGAGCTACTACCTAGATTGTTGTATTCCTGAAAATCCGCGTTTTTTGGAATATCTTGGCTTACATCTGGACCGTTTTCTATTGTTCTTTCTTTGTGATTAGATAATTCTATGTTTTCTACATCCTTACTGTTGTATTTCACATGGTCATTATCTAAAAAACTGGGTGTAGATTCGAAAATGTTTGGCTCAGATTGATGTACAATTCCAGAATTGATTATTTCACCATCCTCTAGTGTTTTAGCTGTTGACGAAATTTGAGGGTTGTTTTTGCTGTTCAGAATGCTGGCAGAGAAATAGATAAATCCTTTTCTTTGACTCATTGGAACTTTGCTTTGTTGGTAGACAATGCGCCATAGACACAACGAAATCAAACAGAAAACAAATAAAATCCCCAGAATAATTCCGGCTAATTCTGGACTACTTAAGCCTGTTTCTAATTCGGCTTTTGAATTAACCTCTAAGGTTATATTTACAGAGACGTTTCCAGCAGTATTTGAGGAACTACACAAATAATAGCCAGTATCTTTGAGCATCACATTAATGATGGTTAGCGTGTTGATCTTGTGGATAGTACCATATTCCTTTATGAAGTACATCTGTCGACCGAAGGACATCAATGTGAGATTAGCAATTGGCCTTCCTTTGAAGGACCAATTAACTACAGCATCAGGAAGAGCTTTAATTTTACATCCTAAGGTTGCATTGTGATTTTCATAGGAAATCACAGGATTTTCAATAGCTGAAACATGAGGAGGACAAGAAAACTCATCAGAATGTAATTCTTCCCACGAAGCATTTTTCAACCTTAATGGATAGAAGCACCGTGGTGGAGATATAAATGGGATGTTGTTAGATATCATCCACATGTGTACACCGCGAATTTTGCAATCGCATATCCAAGGGTTGCGATGTACGTCGAGTGCATATAATGGGGGCAGAGTTTTGATTATTTCATCTGGAATTGTGCTTAATTTGTTATCATCAAGTTTTAGATATTGTAATTTGTCTAAACCAACAAAGGCATTTGGTTCAACTGTGTGAATTTGGCAACTCCTAAGCTCAAGACTTGTTAATTGGGACAATCCCTCGAAGGAATTGTTTGGAATTCTCTGAATTGGATTCCTGCTCAACTCTAATCTTCTTAGAAGATAGCAATCTCTAAGAGCAATGGATGGAATCTCGGTGATGTAGTTATCTGAAAGGTAGAGTTCAATTAGATTTGACAAGCCGTGAAATGCATCTTCCGCAATTTGGGAAATCTTGCATTTGATCATGTACAATTTTTGAAGGTGAATAATTTGAGCATGAAAGAAGACTTTGCTTGGGAGGGTCTGAAGAGAATTATCTGTTAGGTCCAGTACCTGAGTGTTGGTGTTGAGATCGAGTGGAACGCCCAACAATTTGGCTTCGATGCACTCTGCAGTCTGTTTGCCACTTTTCCATTTGCAGGAACACCCGGGAGCACAGTTGCTCTTGGCATCTGCGAGCACATTGAGGAGCAGCACAGCGTAGACCTGGAGGCTGCGGCTGAGGAACTGTTTTTTCTTCATGCTGGCTCCGGTTACATCATATTTGGTGAATCGCTACCTGAACACACCACGTAGTTTAAAACCAATCCTTGATATCTAAATTATTCTATAATTACATTTATTAAAGTTAAATCTATACATCGATTATATATTTTAAAGATATTTGATGTTTACTTTTCTTCTAATATAAATCCATGCATACCTTACTGAGATGATAGAATTTTTTTTCTAGAAACTTGACTGTGTGTGTCAATTTGAATTATCTAATTTTGCCTCTCGAATACCAGCATGTGAATTTGAATCTTTCTTCATGTACCTGTAATGCATTCATGGGGGTGGGGGGGGGGGGGAGGGATTCCTTCTCACAATATTTTCCATCCTATATTAAGAGGCGTATTACATTATAACTATTTTAATTACAATAATGGACAGTAAAAACGTTGTTGGATAGTATATGAAGACGTTTTGCCTCTATAATATGTTTTTTTTTTGTATTTTTAAGATAAACTAAGTTAATAAAATCAATGACGGAATTTGAAGCAAATCTAATCCTATTGGTAATAGATAATAACACTCTTATTGCCTGTCTGAATGCGAAAGGATATGATATATTTAGCTCATATAATAGCTTCTGTTGCAATGATTGTGCGAAGGTAATTTTGGTGATTTATTATATGTCCCAAAATATGTAAAAGATGTATTCTTTTGATTAATAAAGAAATAACAACATTGATGAAAATAATGTCTAATAGGGGTTTTCAGAATGCGTTCACTGCTAATATTAATATAATATAGATTCACAAATGACTATATATATTATTTAGAAATGCTTATTTCGGATCATAGAGTTTTATTTTCCAATATTTCGTAAGGCAAAGCGCCAAATTATTCGAGAAACAAGATTGTTTTGAGATGCTCGCGTATCAATTCACGAGTATGTACAACTGCTATAAAATATTTAAAACATATACCTATATATGAAAAAATATAGTACAAATGTCACATTGTAGGAGATGCTTTTTCAAAAATATTATTATTTTTATAAAATTATTAAACTTGTCAATTGCATTGATTGATAAGTATAAATATAATATTCATACATTGGATTAATAAAATTTATTAGCTGATAACTATCGTATATATAATAATGTAGTGTATTTTATCTCAGTATAAAATATGTATTTAAAATATGTATATAATAATATGTATATAAAAATTGTTTTTATTATTAAATTGTTAACGTGATAATCCTGTTGAAGGACTGACAAGTCCGAAAGCTTGAAAATAAAAAGTTGCGCAAGAAACTTAATAATAAAACTCAAAGCTTCATTTATTCAATAAAAGTATAAAATATAAATATTGTGGTGGTGCTTATCTCCATGATTAAACCAATTCCTAAAGAAAAAAAAAACTATCGTATTGTATATTTTTTTTATTTTGAATTCTAAGAATTCCATATAAAATTGTTATTGAAAGTGTATATTATATATAAATAAAAACATTTAATTCCTTAGAGTCCACCATTTCTATAGCTTATATTCTTCCAGCGACATTTTATTTAGAAAGTTTGAAAATAAAGAGTACCGGAAATCGAAATATTGGATTTAAGAGAATTAAAAGTTTTATTCTGATGTCCCAAAATATTACCGTTTCAGCAATATATGTGTAATAAATATAAACCTTCTTTAACTACCTTCTTAGACGTTCTACAGTGATTTTCATATTAACATATTTATATTTAATTGGTATAAAAATATCTAAAATACAATAACGAATATATATATTTATGACAAAAGGCATCTCCTTATCGTGCAACTGAAAGTTGCTGATGGATTG